TTTAAATTTGAAAAAAAAAATTATATTCGATTTTGGCGTTTAAACGACATTGCGGTCACTAGTGTTTTCAAAAAAGTTGGCACGTGAAAATATTTTACAATCGCTGCATTTTTTTGTAAGTGAGCAACAAAAGAACGCTCAACTCGGGTAGAATTTTCTTTTAGCCATTTAAGCAACCCTGCTAGTAGCTGCCATAAAACATGTGATTATTTCAACGGGATTTACACACAAAAAACAATAGAAATTAGTAATTATGCGAGGTATTTGCATAATATATATACTTATTTAAAATATATATCATGTATATACGAAAACAAAAATTCCCCTCTCCACTTTCCCATTAACAATTCACAATAGAGCAGTGTTTTCACTTAACACCACTACTCTTCAGGTCGCGTATGTTTTAACCGACCTGGCTGAGCTTGGATAAATAGCCGAGTTTGTGTTGTTGCTTTGCGTGTATTTCGTCATTTAAGCGAGTGTTCTTTTGTAGCTCGGTTGCAAAAGAATGGGCCTAATATTGTTAACACATAAAATAAACGTTAAGTTTAAGCTAGTGTAGAAATGGTATACCCGAAAAACTTTGAGGAAGCCCTTATATATACATTAGTGTAGTCCAAAAATACATGTAAAACGTAATGTCGGAATTTTAATGCTCAAAGATCACAAAGTTTTCCATGTATTTTGTACGGGGATAAAAACAACTTTTCGTGGAAATAGTATAGAATTCTTGAAAATCAGTATTTTTTGATCAGAAAACTCGGTTACTCCTCAAGAAAACACCGGGTAATAGTACCCAACTCTTTATTTAAACATTTTATTATAGTACTATATTTTATAGGTCCACCAAAAGCCATTGAAAATGCAATGAGGGCGCCATAAAATGTCCTTAGTATTAAACAATGATTAAATAAACAATTGAGTATTAGTACTGGAAGTTCAAGAAATCTATACCATTTCTACAAAAAGTTGTTTTTTCCCCATATAAAATAACGGGTGATTTTTTTGAGGTTAGGATTTTCATGCATTAGT